TGGCAGGCTTCTTGGTTGTCTGTTACTGGTAACAAGCTACGCACTCTTAAATGTTGTGTTTCCTCGTGGCCGTCCTCCTTCCACCGTAACCGGAGGTGGGAAACAGCTCTGGCGAGGTTGCGTATTGGCCATACTCGCTTAACCCATGGTCACTTGATGGAGCGCCGCCCTGCCCCTTATTGTTCTATAGTTGCATTGTCCCTCTTACGGTCGTGCATGTCCTTCTTGAATGTCCTGACTTCCAGGACGAGCGTGTGTCTAGCTTTCCGACCGCCCCTCGCGGTCACCTGTCCCTCGATAGAATTCTTGGTGACTCGGATACTTTTGATATCGTTCGCCTTAAGCGTTTTTGTTCTCGTATTGGCATCCTTGGTGATATTTAGCGCCCTCTGATTATTTTGCATATTTGATGGTGCTACATAACCTTCCCGGTTTGGTGCCTTCTTTTGATAGTTACTTACTTACTTACTTCACCAGATAATACATTCACCTCTACCACCTCGAGGGTTACTCCCAACTACCTTCCCACCACCCCATCTGCTCCCCACCCGTACACCCGCCCAACCATACCTTCATCCACCCACCCCCACCCCCCGCTGCCATACCGCCGCTGCTGTCTTTTACAATACTCGATATCAAGGCCTCAGTCAAAACACTCTTTATCTGGTCACATAGTTATCGATCATGCTTTTTCCCAGATCAAGTAAATAGATGCATAAAATATGAATAAATTTCATCATATGAATTACATAATTATTAAAGTCATAGTGGTAAAAGAGAGCGAAAGTATGTATCCCACACCACACCCTATATGAGTAATTGGAAGAAGTAATGGTCCACCACCACCATGACTGTTTGACATGACCTGAGTTGCTCTCTCTCAGCAAGGGGGAAAATAAAACTGTTAAAGTGGGCTTCTTATATTTTTGGTCGAAATGAAGCTTTGTCATAGTCATTTTAATTTAAATCATCATATTTTAGATGTAGTAAAGGACATTGCATTTTCAAATTATTCCATTGCCTTATTGACTCTTATTAACTTAATTTCAGAGTGTGGTGAAAGTGATCAGTGAGAACAAGTGTGACGGGTAGTGTGTGTGTGTGTGTGTGTGTGTGTGTGTGTGTGTGTGTATTCAACTAGTTGTATTCACCTAGTTGTGCTTGTGGGTCTTGAGCTCTGCTCTTTCAGCCCGCCTCTCAACTGTCAATCAACTGTTACTAACTAGTAACTAACTTGTCCCCTTCCCCCCACACACACACCTTCAGGAAGCAGCCCGTAACAGCTGTCTAACTCCCAGGTACCTATTTACTGCTAGATAACAGGAGCCTCATAGTGAAAGAAACTCTTCCCCTTTTGTTTCTGCTGGCGTTGGGAATCAATCCCCGGACCACAGGACTACGAACAGAGCATGCTGTCCACTCGGCCACCAGTGCCCTTGTCCACTCAGTCACCAGCGCCCTGGTGGCTGAGTGGACAACTCACCTGGACTCACACAGACACCTGGTGTGTGTGTGTGTGTTGTGTCTGTGAGTGTGCAATGAACGAGTTTAGCGTTCATCGCACACACATGATACTACTTTACTGATACTGATCTATATTCCACTACTGGAGCATAGTGAAAGGGAACTTAAGTCTAATGTTGGATCAAAGAAATTGATTGGAAAGTACTGATTGTTAAGTAATGCAAGTAATGTTAAGTAATGCTCACATGCCCACATGATCATCCACGCTCATCCGAACACATTTTTTCACTCTCACTTTTCTCTCACTCGTTCATGCTCAACACACTCAGAAATAGTAAATATTTGAACTACTCCAACTATCACAAAATCCACACATAACATGGGGTACAAACAATCACTCTTTGATGCTGAAATAGGAATGATGGAAGATACAGAACAGTAGAAAAAAGAATGTAACAACGTTTCTCATTGATACATCACTTAGTGTAGATTACTCTCTGTGTACAGATCTATAAATCTGCTAACATTTATTAGATTTTATCACAAAGATGTTTAGAATTTGCTTGATATGTAAAGAACAGTGGTGTTATGATATGAAACAGTTGACTGTAGGATAAAGTAGAAACTTGATAAAGATGTCTTATACTGTTTGATACTATATAAAATGGTAAAGATCCTGAAAGGTTGACTTGATACGAGTTATGACTCGTATAACACAAATGTTGAACTAATACATAGTTTCAGTTGACTTAAAGTTTTGTAGCTACATAAATAGTAATGACGCGATACAGAAAGATTGATTTAACAATTATAACTCGCATAGATGTGTTTGAAAGATTGTTAGAGAGTAAACCAAAAGACAACTTAGTTATCTTACTGTAAGATGACTTAGTAAAATATTGTTAATAATAACAGTAAGGATCTATTGTACACCTATTATTTTTTGTTTAGGTACGATGTATCATTGGGGTTAACATATGGGAAGAGAGAGTAACAGAAATTTGAAAACGTAACATGCAAGACCTTGGGAAAAGAGTGAAGGGTGAGGAGAATGTTAGGAATTTTCACGAAATGTTTAGTTAGGCCTAGGGGTGAGAAGTCAAAGGTCTATCTGCACACCCACTCTCACTTTCATTACACTTGCTCATACTGATCATATTCATCTCACACACGCTACCCTCACACTTATTCCCACTCGTCACTTTCATCACATTTCCACCACACTCTGAAATTAAGTTAGTAAGAATCAATAAGGCAATGGAATAATTTGAAAATGCTATATCCTGTACTTCGTCCAAAATATGATTATTTATATTAAAATGACTATGACAGAAAGCTTAAGTACGACCAAAAGTCGTACAAGTACTTGTCGTATCTACTCGACATTAAAACCACGACTAGTAGCCCACTGAAACAGAGTTTGATTTTCCCCCCCTGCTGAGAGAGAGGGCAACTCAAGTCAAGTCAAACAGTGGTGGCTGACCTATAATTTCTTCATCCGATTACCTTCACAAGGTGTGGTTTGAAATGCATACTTTCCCTCTCTCTTACCTCTAGGACTTTTCTATTTACGTGGTTTATATGATCCTATTTATTCATATATTAAGCATCTATTTACTAGATTAGAGAAAAAAGCAAGATGGTGGGCGGGTTTGGGCAGGTGGGCTGGCAGATGTATGGGTGGGGAGCGGATGGAGGGTGAGCAGTTAGTTGGGAGTAACCCTGGGGGGTGGTAGAGGTGGATATGTAATATCTGGTGAAATACTAGTGGTTAATAATGGAGTTGTGGTGACTGGGGGTGATAGACGAGTGAAATGACAGGCACCAGAAAGTGAAGTATGTATTTTGTTCTCTCTCTCTCTCTCGTATTTACTTACTACAACACTATTTAAGCTACCTAAAGACATAGTGATAGACTACTCTTAATTTCACTAATACTCACTAACCATCTTTCAACTGTATCTATTGTAATGTAACATTAATGCTCTGACTCTCCATTTACTATTTATTTTATTATTCCTCTTATCTTCACACTGTTATATATTGTGAAACATCCTACCTGAAAGGAAACTCCTACCTGCTATAAAATCTACTTTCACTGAACCATCTTTTTTGACATTTTCTCGGTATGATCTATTTTGATACCTGTATGTAAAATTTAATTTTTTTTCCCTTTTCACTTCGCTCACTTGCAACTTTCTATTTTTAGTCCTTGCTACTTTGCAACATCTTGCACTTTCCTTGCTATGCAATTTTGCAATATATTGAAAGATTAGCCCCCTTACACGATCATGACCTTGCCACATCTTGCAACATGAACCCCTTGCACAATCATGACCTTGCAACATTGCAAGCCGAGATGGAAAGAACAGTTGTAGGCGTCATTTACCCTACTAAGGCCCCCTTAGTAGGGTACAGGCACACAGGAGGCCTGGTCGACGGCCGGGCCGCGGGGACGCTAAGCCCCGGAAGCACCTCAAGGTAACCTCAAGGTAACCCCTTAGTAAAACCATGCTGTGAGGCTTTTATTAATCTATGAATTTTAAGATGTAAATGAATATCTTCTGCTATTATCGATTCAAGCAATTTTCCTACAATAGACACTTGGCTACTGGGTGATAATTTGACTCAAGTGATCTTATTTCTTAAAATCTACTCTACACTGACATCCATTCACGACCAGGTCGACCAGGGCAAAGAGATGCATTTCGACCAGGTCAACAAGACAAACATAAAAATAGACAGAAAACACAGAGACAGAGGCTGAAACAAAGACAGAGATGGACATAGAGAGAGAGGGGGGGGTGGGGGGCAGAGGAGGATGTTTGAAAAGGGGGAAGGAGAGAGAGGATGAGACAGGTGGTTTGGTAAGGATAGGTGGGAGAGGGTGGGTCAGATGGGACAAGGGGAGAAAGATGGAGAGGGTGGAAGAGTTGTAGAGATGGAAGGAGAAGAGGGGGAGAGAGATGGGAAGAGAGGGGAGAGAGAAGGGGAAAGAGGGACCCTGGCCCAGTCGAGCATCCCCCCCCCCCCCCCTTTTTAGTATAAATCATAATTTGGAATCCAAATTTCACTATCGTGTAGTCCCTCGTACGGGATTCTGTGAATGCTCCAAATATTGAATTTGACTCACTTAGAATGTCATTTATGAATCTAAGTATATTTCTCGATTTTGACTTCAGACCTTGTATATTTGCAAATATACAAGATGTTCTATTTCATACATATGAATGAGTTTGGGTGGATATAAATGGGAGCCGCCTCACATGGGCCTATGTACTTTCTGCAGTTTCCATAATTCTTATATTCTCATGTTCATGTATATATATAAAAAATTGCCACAATCATTATTCTTGCCTAAAATAACAAAAATTCCTGTAAATGTTGCATGTAATTAAGCTGTGAATATTAATAGTTATTTCTAGCTTCGTGTTTAGTATATAAAATATTGTACATTGCACCAGAATATTCAATTGCCAATGTTAACAAAGCTCAGATGTTTCTCCTGCTAAACCTGAACCTTTTCCTGGTGACAGCTCCTACACGCTCGGCTCAGGCGACCGCCAGGCTCTTCCCTGGCGTCAATAACGTCGTGAGGTTAGACCCGCTCGACCCCACCAGGTTCCTGGCGTCGTTGGATGCGGGAGTGAAAAGTTTCAATGATATTAGAAGTGTCGAGTCGAATCTAATCCGGTAAGATTTTTTTTTGCACCGAGAGCACGTAGGAGAGAGAGAGAGAAGACACACATGGAGACATTCCTTCTATATCTTATTAATAAGCATATATTTGTTGACAATAAATGTCACCTGCTTGCCCCCACAGAGACTTGGTGACGCTGCCTATCTTCTCCCCCGCTGGTCAGCATCTGCAATTCTTTACCGTCGAGGATGAAGGTAGAGAGATGGACCGCAGGGCCACCATTATCGCCCTGGTAGCTAGGAGCATAGCAAGGGAGTATGTACAATAAGAAGGTTGCAATTGTAAATGATGGATTTAATGGCATATGTATATGACGTAATTCTTAATGTTAAATATGATACAAAAACAATGTGTATATCAATGCAATGCAAAGCCTGTACAGGCAACTCTTAACATTTACCCAAGTAGATAATTCGTTCTGTAAAACATAGAACTCATCTTTAAAAACTAATCACGATGGCTTAAGAGCTAATTCAGCAATTCAAAATATAACAAAGCATGAAATGAGGACATTATGAATAAGAGAGTACACTACATATCTGTGCCAGCAAACCGTTGCTATCTTTTCAGCTTTCAGTTAACACCACAACAGGCAGCCTTTGGTCTGAGGAACTTGCTTGTGAGCGACACAAAGCTGAGAGACTTGTGCCCACAGAACCCCAGGTGCACCCCCAACAGCAAGTACCGTACTGCTGATGGCTCGTGCAACAACCTGGCGAACCCAACCTGGGGCATGAGCAACACTCCCACTCAGAGGATCTTACCACCAACTTACGACGATGGTCAGTGGTGTTAGATATTTGCTATCCTTCTTACTGGCGATATTTAGGTCATTGAGAAACATTGATAGGAATATGTCATGTTTTCTTCTGTTGTGTTCAGTCTGTTCATTGTTAACGTTGTTCTCTGCAGGTATTCATGGTGCACGCTCGAGATCAGTCGACGGCTCGCCTCTTCCAAATGTTCGACAAATTAGCAGCAACGTTTTTCTTGATATTAACCGGCCAGATCAGTTTTATACGACCATCTTAATGCAGTGGGGACAGTTTCTCGACCATGATTTTGCTCATGTACCATTTCCTACAATGGGTAAGATAAATAAAAAGGCGTTACTTGCTTCAGAGTTCGCGAAAATAGGACAAATGATGACATATTAGATGTTAACATTATGTTCATTGTGATATTGTTAAACGGTGAGTCATCCCTATTAATTTAATTATTTGTAAACTTAATATGCTGGTCAACAATTTCAGAGAATGGAACGGGTATTCAGTGTTGTCCAAATGGAACAATGGCACCCAATCTTCATCCTCGGTGTCTACCCATCGACACCACAGGCGACGCATTCTATGGCCCTCGAGGCAGCAGGTGTATGAATTTCGTCAGGAGTATGTTGGCTGTCGGTCCCGGCCCCGGCTGTAACTTCGGCTTCTCAGAGCAGGTGGGTGGTGTGACTGATGGATCTGGTGGATGGACTGATGTGACCTCTCGCTACAGTCTCAACTCTGGGGTTTGTGTTGTCCGGAGGCAACAGCTCCCACCTCTGTAGTACTGCATATTAGACAAACAAGACATGCGAACAAGAGAACTTGTCCAACCCATTCTCAAAACATTACAGTTCCTTTGAATCAAAACTTATGTAAGAATATGTTATTGCAAATGGAAAACTTTCAACTGTGTCCTACAAAATCTTGAGGAAGGAAAAAGATTAGTATAATCTCGACAAAATACTCTACAGATGGTACCTAAAGATTGATTGATGACTGATGAAGAATAGACCACCAAAAAGGTGCACGGGTATGAATAGCCCATTGGTGGCATTTCTTTTTCATTTTTAGTGAATGACATCGCATTTAAATTGTCAGGCTGCTATTGCTGTAAAGTAGTAAGGATACTACAATAGGCAGCCACAGACCAGAAGATCGTTTTCATCAATACAATTCACTTACGTGGGAGAACAAGAGTCTCAATTGTACCACTAACTTGCATAAACACACAAGCCGATACATATATATATCTATATAAATAAAAATGGAAATGTTCGTTTGTTCAAAATCACTAATCTCCGAAAGATTTTCACCGATTGCTTTGAAATTTTTACACAACGTTCCATTCGCATCCAAGCAGGTTTTTATATGTATACTATATAGATGTCACGTTTGTGACAGTAAAAAAAAACATGTTTTTCATGTGAGGGAAATCTTCGAAACCTCCATACCGATTGCTTTGAAATTTTGACACAACGTTTTATTCGAATAGGCGCGTCTTGTTATATATCTACTATATACATTCCTTACCTGCGACAGGAAAAACATGCTTTTTTTGTTAAACAGCGCCATCTGTATATCAACCCATTCTCAAAAGTAAGAGTAACGTAACCATTCTCAAAAGTAAGAGTAACACACGCTGTAATCTCCGGAAGTTATTCACTGATTGCTTTGCAATTTTGACACAAAGTTGCATTCATATAGGCGCGTCTTTATATATACCTACTATATAGTTGCCACCCCTGTGACTGGTAAAAACATGCGTTTTTGAAAAACAGTGCCATCAGTTGCACATAATAGCAACATACACGCTATACTAAATATGTCACGAATTCCTTTTCAATGTTTCCGATTGCATTGATAAATTATATTTTCATAGATTTCAATATATTTTATTTTTTTATTGGATTATGTTGTGTGACATTGTGTTGGAATTGAGCTGTGTTGTTTACCATACCGTTCATTTCATAAGTATAGGTATAGATGCCACACCTGTGACAGGTTAAACTATGCTTTTCTTGAAAAAAACGCACCATCTGTTACATGTAAGAGCAACACACATGCTATACTAAATATGTCACAATTCCATTTCAATGTTTCAGATTTCATTGATAAATTGAATTTTCATAGATTTTGATTTACTTTCATTTTGATTTAATTATTTTGTGTGAATTACGTTGGAATTGAGCTGTGTTGTTTACCATACCGCTCACTATGTAAGTATAGTTTTTTTTTATTATTTTAATATTTTCATTTCATTTTTTAACAGCTCACTTGATGTTCTCAATTTTCTGATGGGAACATCAGACCATTTGGGAAGGCATCAGGCGAGGGAGTGGGGAATGGTGGGGATGACGAGGGGACGGAAGTGACAGATGGTGGGAAGGACGAGGGGACGGGGGTGTTTGGGATGGGGGGATGAAGAGATGGGGAAATGGAGAATAGTGAGGAGGACAAAGGGACAGGAGAGTGGGGCATGGTGGGAAGGATGAGGGGATGGTGGAGTAGGGAATGGTGGGAAGGACGAGGAGATGGGCGAGGGGGAAATGGTGGGGAGGACTGGGGGACAGGGAAGGTTGCTGTGGCTCAGCAACGCATATGCGTTGTTGAGCCACAGCAATGCGTGGCCGGGTACTGCTAGTATGTGTGTGTATATGTGTATATGTATATATATATATATATATATATATATATATATATATATATATATATATATATATATATATATGTATGTATGTATATATATATGTATGTATGTATATATATATAATATATATATATATATATATATATATATATATATATATATATATATATATATATATATATATATATATATATATATATAATATGTCGTACCTAGTAGCCAGAACGCACTTCTCAGCCTACTATGCAAGGCCCGATTTGCCTAATAAGCCAAGTTTTCATGAATTAATGTTTTTTCAACTACCTAACCTAACTTTTTCTGCTACCTAACCTAACCTATAAAGATAGGTTAGGTTAGGTAGGGTTGGTTAGGTTCGGTCATATATCTACGTTAATTTTAACTCTAATAAAAAAAATTGACCTCATACATAATGAAATGGGTAGCTTTATCATTTCATAAGAAAAAAATTCTAGAAAATATAATAATTCATGAAAACTTGGCTTATTAGGCAAATCGGGCCTTGCATAGTAGGCTGAGAAGTGCGTTCTGGCTACTAGGTACGACATATATATATATATATATATATATATATATATAAATATATATATATGTATGTATATTAATATATTTTGGTAGCAGTCTTTCTTGTAAACATATGTTGTTGAATATGATCGACAAGGTAAGATTATCTATTCTAACACGAATTTTCTCAATATTTCTTATGTTTTTCTTCACTGTCGATGGTAATTGAAACGTCAATTCTCCAAAATTCATTTTTATTTATGGTCTGACGTCTGAATGCGTTTCATAATTCTTATTACATTTTCAAAGACTTAGTTTACACATAAAAATTCATCGTACTTATACTTGTTTTGGGTAAGGTGATATGGCACAAAAGTTTTGGGTGAGGTGACAAGCACAAGACAGAACACGAAACAATAGGTATAAATTGGGTATGAAAACATAAGAATGGAAATAACTGCAGAAGACCTATTGGGCCCCATACCACCTCTTCCTGCTTCTATGTTGGTTCGGGGTCTTGAAGTGGGTAGAATATAGTTGTGCATTAATTGGCTGTTGATTGCTGGCGTTGACTTTTTGATGTGTAGTGCCTCTCTGATGTCGAGCCGCCTGCTATCGCTATACATATCGATGATTTCTGTGTTTAAGATTTCTCTGGTGATGATCAGGTTGTGAGAAGAGATTATATGTACCTTGGAGCCCTGTTGTTTATGCATTGTTAATTGCCTGTAAAGAGACGTTGTTGTCTTGCCTATATACTGAGTTCTTTGGAGCTTACAGTCCCCAAGTGTTCATTTGAAGGCATAGACGACATTGGCTTCCTTCAAGGAAGGAAGGCTTCCTTCAAAATATCGCCAAGATCTGGTTCGAAATCAGATACACAAGGCAGAAAATGAAATCAGACGGCAAAACGCAACTACTCCACACTACAAACCAATGGAGAAACAGCAACATCGACGAAGACCTCCATACTCTTGTCGACCAACACCTCGACATCCTTACAGATCGACATCACCGAAACCAGGATCATAAAGAAACTGACAACATTATATGGAGGACCTATGGTGATTCCACGACCCAGAGATGGCTTGGCTTCTTAAACCTTGCTGGAATCAACCTCACTGAGGACCAAATCACTCTTAAATCTGGGTATAAACTGTCACGTTATGTCCAGACCAAGTGAGATGGCCCGGGAAGTGGAGTTGGAGATCCTGTTGGACGACATATTCGACCTCGAGACGCAAAAGAAGGGTACCACTAAAGACACCTTGCAAGCAGAACTTATAGCAGAAGGAGGAAAGATTCCAGGTAACTACAGAAGCACCATACTGGCCCCTGAGCTCAAAGCGGCAGCTAAGAGCCTTCGCGAGAACAAAGAGATAGTCGTCAGGAGAGGTGACAAGTCACCAATATACGTTATTCTTAATAAAGGCGAATATCTGGCAAAAATGAACCTAATACTCTCTGACCAAATTAAATTCCAAATGGTAACGAAGGACACTACAGCCGAATTGAAAACGAAGGTAAACAGACTGATCGAAACTGTGAACGCCAAGAAATCCGGACTCCACCTGCCAAAGGTTATTGGAGAATACAAACCTGGGTATGCGTATGGAAATGTCGAGACCCAAAAGCCTGGAAACCCACTTTGGCCAATCATCAGCCAGATACCGACACCCACAGGTATCTGGCTGATGTATGCATCTGATATCTGGCAGCAGGTATGTTGACTGGCTAAGCGACTCGAGACCTTGCTGACTCCTTATGTACCATGTGCTTTCAGCATGAAGTCTCCCAATTAATTTTTTGACTTACTGTGGGGAGCACAGGCCACGGGGATAAGAGCCTCGTTAGATGTAGTCACTGTTTACCAACGTACCTGTGGATGAAACAATCGGGATGATAGCAGACAGAGTGTATCGTGATCCAGTTTGCACTCCTCTTGACATACCAGAAAACATACTAAGGAAACTACTCCAAGCCGGCAATAAAGAGGCACCCTTCTTGAGCTCAGATGGGCACTTGTATAAGTAGATGGGGTCGCCATGGGCTCTCCCCTAGGTGTCCTGTTTGCAAACTTCTACATGGGTACCATCGAGCAGAGGGTCATCGCTGACATGGACTTGAAATCCGCCATATACTGCAGGTATGTTGACGACATTTTTACACAGGTACCTGATGCCAGATGTCTGCAGCAGCTGAAGGAGGCATTTGAGTGGAATTCTGTGTTCAGTTTCACATACAAGATGGAGAATAATGGGAAGCTGCCCTTTCTGGATGTAACAGTCACGGAAAGGAGCAGAGGCTTCCATACTGCAGTCTACACCAAGGAAACATAGGAATGTGCCTCAATGCAAATAGTGACTGCTCAGACAGGTACAAGAGGAGTGTTGTCAACGCTTACATCGACCATGCTCTGTCACAGCTCAGGATGGAAAAAAGTCAATGAAGAACTCTGTAGAGTAAGGCCCTATTAGACTATTTTACAGGAACTTCTTTTCGACGGCTCATAAAACGGAGGAAAGGGTCCTGAAAGATATTGTTGATACAGACAAAAATCGGAAAATACAATTGATAATTTATTATAAAACCAAAAAAACGGCGAATCTACTCATGAAAAATTCCCTAGACACCAAGCACAACGCTTTGAAGGAGACCAACGTCGTCTATGCCTTTAAATGCCCACTTGGGGACTGTAAGCCCCAAAGAACTCAGTATATAGGTAAGACAACAACGTCTCTTTCTAGGTGACTAACAATGCCTAAGCAATAGGGCGCCGTCAAGGAACATATAATCTCTTCTCACAACCAGACCATCACCAGAGAAATCTTAAACACAGAAATCATCGATAGGTACAGCGATAGCAGGCGGCTCGACATCAGAGAGGCACTACACATCAAAAAGTCAACACCAGCAATCAACAGCCAATTATTGCACAACTATATTCTACCCATTTCAATGCATCGCATGGGCCAATAGGCCCTTTGCAGTTACTTCCATTCTCATGTACCCACCTCACCCAAACCAATAAAAAGCGAGGGTTATGTCAAATGTTTCATACACAGTGCATCGGTGTATCATAAATGTAGTTCATAAGTGTAGTGTTAAGTTTATAGAAGTCTTTGATAATGTATGAAGCCCTTACGAAAGACTTCTAAGCCTCAGATCATTAATAAAAAATGAATTTTGGAGAATTGATATTTTCATTACCACCGACAGTGAAGAAAAACATAAGAAATATTGAAAAAATTTGTTAGAATTATTAATCTTACTTTTTCGGTCATATTCAAGTACATATGTTTACAAGAAAGACTGCTACCAAAATATGCTATATATATATATATATAATATATATATATATATGTATATGTATATATAATGTTATAAAATAGGTGTATGTATGTTACCAGAGACAATGTATGTCTGTCTATCTGTCCAAAATTCAAAATTGGAGGCCAGATGCCTGGGATATCCTCACCCAAACTGGCAGAGGATGCTGTCTGGGGTTTGGGATGATCATAGGCCGGCCGAAGGTCACCACAATTCAAAAGTGAACAGCGTGCCAGGGTCACATTCTGACCACCATGACGATTTTTAGCCCTGTTCTTCAGTACATGGACGAATATATTTAGAGAAAAAAAATTAAATGCAGAGTTTTCGATAGGCCTTCCACAGCATAAATACTCAATCAGAATTGTTCAACAATCTAATGAAATGTTTTTGAAAGTTAATTTTGAAACCATTTTGTTAATTGGGACTCGTTGAAATAATTGCCTGCAATGATTTTTTTTATTGCTATCACAAACAGCTGAACCAAATAACACATTGGTTAGACGGGTCTGCAGTGTACGGGTCCACCCCCAACCAGCAGCGGGCCGTCAGGTCCTTCAGGAACGGTCTTCTTCGAACCTCAGGGAACAACCTCCTGCCCATCAACCCCAACCAGAACACCTCAGGAATCTGTCAAGGAATGCAGCGAGGAGCCCTCTGTTACCTGGCAGGTTGGTCACTTCCTCTCTGGGAATCTTCCCATGATTAATTTACTCAATTCTTGATTAATTTGGAATGGACTGTGTTTAATTTTATTTATTACTTATGTATAACTTCTAAGCAGACTGTATGTATAATTTAATAACGCCAGTAAAATTACTTTCAAACAAATTTGTGGGGTTTATACATTTAGTTGATCACACCGTAATGAAATGGATGATAATTAACATTCTACTATACAGCAATAAGTTATAAGTATTCAGTAAACAGGTTAATAATAATAAATGATAAAGCCAGCTTATCTGACTAGATGATTTCGGAGTCCATAAGAGCCGGGTGAAGTACACGTGGGCCGCCTCTCCTGCAATAATGGCGTCACCTCTAGTGACGCCACGTCCACATAAATGGCAATTTATGTTCCATAAATTTTGGAACGAGATGTAATCAATGAGCAATTTAGTATTCTCGTTTTCTAGAGATAATTACGACTTATACGATCTCAGAATGTGTGACTAAAATATTTATTTGTATGAAAGGTTAATAAGTGTTGTCGGAATTTCCGACATCCTGAGCTTGTTGGGATAATGGACATGTTGAAGCTGTAGTTGTGTAATTTGTAGTGACCACACTGCTGCCAACGATACAGAGAGAACACCATACAGGCAAGACACAGTCTTGAGTTAAATTTGCTCTTATCTTGCTCTGTCCTATACTGACGTAGGGTTGACTATATAAAGAAACGTGTATGAGGTGTTCATTGGCACTTATATGCCTTACCCTCTACTTACGGCAGTCTTGCATGGCTCGAGTTATGCCCTACCAATGAGGAGCTCATTGGCATTACAATACATTTTGTATTGGTCGCTCCTTTTTAAGAATGAGTGATGTGTAAAATTATGTGACAGAGTTTCAGGAGAAAACAAGGATGCTTGTAGCTCGATACGTCGTTATTTATATATTACTGTTACAAAAACATAATGTGGAGCTCAAGAAAAGTTGTAATTCCCTAATGGAATTTCCTCCAAGTGCTTAATATTTGTGCACACACACTCTCTCTCTTTCTCTCTTTCTCTCTTTCTCTCTTTCTCTCTTTCTCTCTTTCTCTCTTTCTCTCTCTCTCTCTCTCTCTCTCTCTCTCTCTCTCTCTCTCTCTCTCTCTCTCTCTCTCTCTCTCTCTCTCTCTCTCTCTCTCTCTCTCTCTCTCTCTCTCTCTCTCTCTCTCTCTATATATATATATATATATATATATATATATATATATATATATATATATATATATATATATATATATATATATATGTGTGTGTGTGTGTGTGTGTGTGATAATACACTTATCTATTTATTTAAAGAAAATAATAATTTTGTTTAAGCTACAATTTTGTTATAAATATTTTTCTTATTTCTTATTTTGTCTATATTACATGTAATTCATTGAACAAACAAATAATTTTGGGTCATGTTAAAAAACCACTTGGAATGTAAGTACATGTTCATAGGCAGGCGATGAGTCACAATAACGTGGCTGAAGTAGTTTGACCAGACCACACACTAGAAGGTGAAGGGACGACAACTTTTCGGTCCGTCCTGGACCATTTTCGAGTCGATTGTGATGTGTCATAATCACAAATAAAGTCAAGTCACAATCGACTTGAGAATGGTCTAAGACGGACCGAAACGTCGTCGTCCCTTCACCTTCTAGTGTGTGGTCTGGTCATACATGTTCATATTTTCATATACTCGATTCTGCATCAATTCAGGTGACTCACGAGTGAACCAACATCCTCACCTCACAACTATACAAATTCTGTTCTTGAGGGAACACAACCGCGTGGCGAGGGAGCTCCAGGCCCTCAACCCCCAGTGGTCGGACGAGGCCGTCTTCCAGGAGACCCGCAGGATCGTCGCTGCCATCATCCAGCACATTACCTACAACGAGTTTCTTCCCATTGTCTTGGGTGAGTGGTTGTAGCTGTGTGTGGGTGTACTCGCCTCTTTGTGCCAGCAGGATCGAGCTCTACCTGTTGGTTTTCTAATGCAATGACTGCTGGCCTATTTCTCTATCAGACCTGCTTTTAAAATTATGAAAGGAGTTAGCCTCTATAATCTGCTCTTTTAGGTCGTTCCATTTACTCACTACCCCTTACACTAAAATGAAACTTTCTAACATCTCTATGATACATCTGAGTCTCAAGCTTCCATCTGTGCCCCCTTGTTCTATTGTTATTCATTGTAAACATTTCCTGTTTCCACTTTGTCAATCCCTCTAAGTATTTTAGACGTCTGTATCATGTCCCACCTCTTCTCCCTTCTCTTTTATAACGTCGTCAGGTTTAGTTCCTTCAGTCTCTCTTCGTACCTCATCTCTTTCAGCTCTGGGACGAGTCTCTTTGCAAACTTCTGCGCATTTTCGAGCTTTCATATATGTTTTTTAAGATGGGGGCTACACAATGGGGCGGCATATTCAAAGATCGGCCTCACATTGGCGGTATAAAGTGATCTAAAAGCCTCCTTATTCAAGTTTCTGAAGGATGTTTTGACTTTTGCCAGAGTAGAGTATGCTGCTGATGTTATGCTGCTGATGTTATTCTATTTATAGGAGCCTCTGGAGTTAGGTTTAGTGTTATGTCCACTCCCGGGTCTTTTTCTCTAGACGTAATAGGGAAGAAGTTTCCCGTCATAGTATACTGGTGTTACAAATGGGCTAATGCTTGCTCTGTGAGAGCCAATATCTAAGGTCAAGGAGTTTCTAAACACTGGGGTTAGGTTAGGCCTGGGCCCCCAGAGAAGACAATTCCCAGTCTTGGCAAACAAACTGAATTTTAATATTAGCGTATAAATATGATATATTTTTTATATCATGTTAGTTGAGAGCCATTTCTTGTTCTTCCAGCCTTCTGAGGAAAACTTGCAGGGCTGCCAACTGTACAGTCGGGATATGTCATTTTTACAGATAGTATACTTTATTATATGTTCATCAGGGTTGTATCAATTATGATTGTATCATTACTTGTAATTTTTGCCAACATTTATAGTTATTATGCTTGTTATATTCAATGTACTTTTGTGTATTGTTCTTGTTGCAATGTACATGTATGATGTACATTGGATTGCTGTAACTTAGTAATTATTTCTTATCATTATGACAATGGCATTTTGCAATTTTAAGGGTAGATATGGTATTATGGGCGAGTTAGGATAAGACAAAATCAGGCTTAATTTAGATACACCTGATTGTTGTCTTAATTCCGGTGAGAGGGAGTATTGTAATGCCCAGAGAAAGTACACCCATGGCTTTTACACTCATCCACCTTTTACACCTTACACCCATCGTCGACCAGGAGGCCTGGCCGCGGGGACGCTAAGCCCCGGAAGCACCTCAAGGTACGGCTCACCATGGGACCTTCCTTGGTAAAGTCAGCCATGTGACCTCAGATTCAACTAGTTAATTGAAATATTTCCTGGCTACACCCTAGTTAGCTTCTTCATATTTATGAATAATCCTGAGAGTCTTGGCTAACTTAATGGTACATCTTGAGTGTTTTTTCACACACCACGGGGAGCTGAATCCTTTAAGTGCTGACGAACTGGTTAGGTGTGCAAAACACTTTTTTCCTGTGTAGGCTGAATCAGCTGGCAACACGACCACACCAAAACTTTCCCACAAGAGTTGCAATGCCCCCCTCCCCCTCCCCTGATTCGGGGCATGGGAAAAGTTTGTATATATACCTCCTGTATGGGAGATAAGAGATAGTGCTGGAGGCAGAGAGGCAGTGAGGGCCGCAAGTCATCAAGTGAGCCTCAGGAGACAGAGTGAATCCACCCAGGTCGTAGAGCAGGAACCAGAAGGTACTGTGTGTGATCTTTGATATTTTCCATGTCTGATGTCTAAACAGTTCCCAGTGTTAGGGTAGGGACGTATAGTTTGGTTAATATCATATTTTGTTCTCAATAAACCCATGTTAAATTTTCCATCTGTCAATTAATGGAATTTCCTAATTCCTCTTGAGTTCAGTTAACAACCGGTCAATGATTCATGACGGTTAGGAAAGGACTCTCAAAGCCAAGCAAATGCGTGTGAGCACGTCTGTGATAGAAAATATTAACAAAAAAATGTTTCTTGCCTCAATGCTTGATATAGCTAAGTGAGAGGCAAGATGGTGGCAGTGGTTCAATTGATAAGTTCTCTGTGTACCATTTCCCTGGAAAGTTACCATTGGTTCCGGTTGTAATCATCCGTGGAACACCGTATTTCAGTTCATATTAAATTGCATCTAAAGTACCAGTGTTTCAATAACTTGTATCACCAAGTTTTACCTCAGTAAAGTGTTACCAAGTGCAACCAGTAGGAAGTGTTGCTCAGTATTAATCAGTATCTTCTAGGGTTAATATAATCAGGCGTTACATGGTACCTTGTGTTCAGCCTTCTGCTCCCTTTGCCTAATTACCCTTGTGGATATGTACTCTATTTGTGTCTGCAGGATCGAGCATTGACTCTTGGATCCCGCCTATCGAGCATCGGTTGTTTACAGCAATGACTCCGGTCCTATTTCCCTATCATACCTAGTTTTAAAATTATGAATAGTATTTGCTTCCTCAACCTGTTCCTTAAGTGCATTCCATTTTTCCACTTCTCTCACGCTAAAAGAAAACTTCCTAACATCTCTGTGACTCATCTGTATGTGTGTGCATTCACCTAGTTGTTCTTGCGGGGGTTGAGCGTTGCTCTTTCGGCCCGCCTCCTCAACTGTCAATCAACTGTAACTAACTACTATTTCCCCCTCCCCCCCTCCCCCACACACACACACCAGGAAGCAGCTCCGTAACAGCTGTCTAACTCCCAGGGACCTATTTACTGCTAGATAACAGGGGTATCAGGGTGAAAGAAACTTTGCCCATTTGTTTCTGCCTGGTGCGGGAATTGAATCCGGGCCACAGAATTACGAGTCCTGCGCGCTGTTCGCTCAGCTACCAGACCCCCGGCCAGGGAGGGGTGTGTGTGTGTGTGTGTGTGTGTGTGTGTGTGTGTGTGTGTGTGTGTGTGTGTGTGTGTGTGTGTGTGTGTACTCACCTAGTTGTACTAAGGGATGAGGGGGGAGCAAAGGTGGCACCCATTGTAGGGTCCCTGCCTTTGATACATCCCCTGAAACCTGGGGGTTGGGTCCCTGGGCCGGAGTCTGAGGGCTTGTTTACAGGTGTTATCTCCCCTTGCGCTGGTCTTAGTTCCATCTGCAGTTAACTTCTGGTTCTCCTCGTGTATTTCAATTCCCCACTGATTTCCCTCCATGCTCGAGCGGTCATCTCTATGCTCGCCCTGTTCCTCTCCTCCAACTGTGTTCTGTTTTCCTACCATCATGCTTGATCCCTTTTTGTTCCGTACGGTTAGTGTTTGTCTACAAGGATCAGAGAAATGAAGAGAGAGGTAGTGAGCAGTGCTACTGGGCAGTTCACCAGGAGCAGTGCTACTGCCCCTGGTGATACTGTCATCATCAGGAGCAGTGCTACTGGGCAGTTCACCAGGAGCAGTGCTACTGCCTCTGGTGATACTGTCATCATCAGGAGCAGTGCTACTGGGCAGTTCACCAGGAGCAGTGCTACTGCCCCTGGTGATACTGTCATCATCAGGAGCAGTGCTACTGCAAAAAAGAAATCCCAGATTTTTTACCTTACAAACATTACAGGGGGGGAGTTGCAAGGGCCGATAATTCTTAAAGGGAGGCAATGTAGCCGGCCCCGGCCAGTCTATGATAGTCACATACCTCCACGAGTCATCTTGAATATTTAGGCGTCTGGCCTCCAGCCTTGGACTGACAAACAGATATTCTCTTGTATATGTGTCGGGGAAAACTAGTTCAAATCCTTTTGCCTTCATATTTTCAGGAAACAATTACATGAATACCTACGGCCTCAGTCCGCGCCTCTATGGCTACAGCAACAACTACAACCCCAACATCAACCCCAACATGAACATTGAATTTTCCACCGCTGCCTACCGGTTTGGTCACTCTGTGGCGCAGGGAACCTTGCGGTGAGTATTATATGGAACATTACTCGCCCTGTAAGGTGGCTAACTCAGGGTTAATAATGATAAACATCGCCCTCAGTTTAATAACAAAGTGATGTGATACTTATATAGAATAACATTCTGGTTAACGTATTTGTGTAATATGAAAGGCCTGGATTCTTTCCTTGCTATGTATTTTCCCGCTATGTTGATCAGTTAGACGGGATGACTAAATTTAACAAATGTGTATTTTGGGACACAATCATTAATACCTGCATGTAGGTATACACATTACTTATATGAAGATCCAGATGTAATCATTCCTGTTGTCTGGGAAGGAAGCCTTAGACCTACCGAGGTCCCCTGGGGTACAATCATACCTTCGCTAGGATGCAACACACAACAGTTGCCTAACTCCCGGGTGTCTATTTACTGCAAGATGAACAGGTTTATCAGGTGAAAGGAAACATGCCCTACTGTTTCTGTCCTGCCAGGGAATTAAAGCCGGGTCTTTCCTTTCTGATACTAGAACGTAGACCACTGTGCTACAGGCATCTTGGATTCGGCCTCTGACGACCTTGTCAGTCATTTCCCACAATGGCCACAAGCGGTTTACATTACTTTAAAGGTAAACTCAATTTTCCGAGCGTGGAAGTGAAGGTTAGTTAACACATGTGTAGACGTGTGTAGACAAGTGAGAGGAAATATCACAAATAATTTAACAGGATAATTAATCCAATTAAGCTAAGTCCTAAGGTTCCGGGTTCGATCCCCGGGTGGAGAGCAGAGTTTCTTTCACCCTAACGCGCTTGTTCTCCGAGCGGTATATAGGTACCTGGGAGTTCAACAAAGTAAAGAGCTCAACCCCATACCACTTGCTTCTTATGTGCAGGCTGTGTACAATTCTATTCTAAACTAAAATGAAAAAAGAGGCATTAAAACACAAAACAAATTAAATATACACATGAACAAAATAAGGGGCCTCAATGGCTTCTCCTTTGCTATTAGCCGGACGTGTCTATGGTTCAGGGATCACCTGGAACACAGTGTGTGTTGTTCTTTACTCTGCTGAATTAATGCACATTAGTGGTATAATTACTAGGTTTAAGATTAAGAATAAATGCAGCAAAGACACTGACTAAAATATGCTAGATTAGCTCACTGAATTAAAATGTATAAACTAACATAACTCGCTTAAATTCATGAATTTAGCCCAGGTAAATTTATTTAAATCTGGACTAATAGGTAACACATATCTTGACATCAATTTAATTATTAACAACCTGTAATGTTGGTAAATTATATTTATCATCATCACTGGCCTAGTGTGGGCATTAATTTATCAGTTACTGCAGTACCCGATTGTTGGGCTGATTACCCCCTAAATTAACCCCCTCTATGCCCACTTTAATTTTTTTGCAGTATTTAGTGTAATCTCAGTGAGATCCCTTGCAATAAACTAAAAATGCATAGGGTTGTGGTATGAACAAGACGGATATTGGTAGTGTGACGGTGGAGAGGTGTACCGAACACGGTGGATTGATGTCACTATCTTCCCCCTCATCACTCTCATTTTAGGAGTTTATGATCATGTTAATACAGTGGTAACACTGCACTAGCGTGTGTCTGCAGACAATGAGTCACAACAACGTGATTGAAGATATAACGACCAAACCATACATCAGAAAGTGGAGAAACGACGACGTTTCGGTCCGTCCAAAACTAGTATCAAGCAGTGTGATGGTCACGACTTGGTAATGGTCCAGGACGGACCGAAACGTCGTTTCTCTATTTTCTGAGGTGTAGTTTGGTAATCATAGTTTGTCTGTATTCCTAAATCAAGCACGTGGAGACCTTGATCCCTAACAGTCGGTAAAGTTTGTGGGAGCTTGTTGTTGTAGTTGTTGATTTAGTGACGACGACGACCGAGAGATCGGATGCACCCCGGCGAACCCTTCAATAGTATATAACAAAGCCATTTGGCTAAATGAACGTCGCCTGTCACCGGAAATTAATGTGCCTTGCGGCGAACAAATGGTGATGGGCAGATGATTGGGGAGCAGCAGGTGTCCCTCAGAGGGACAAGCTTCACCTCCGCCCCCACACAAAGAACACTGGGTAGCACAGCAAAAACTCGTCCCCCAACTAAAACGCAAACTTGCATCCGATGCTTCCCGGCCGAGCAGAAGCCAGCCGCCCACCACGTCTGAGGGCACACCGGGATCCCGCCAAGATCCCGCCACCTCCCGACATCTCTCGGCCAAGCCGGCTCCGGACATCGTCACCCCGTCCGAAGAACCACCCAGAAAACATTCAATGTTGAACCAAGAGTCAACGTTGCTTGTCAACGTTGAACCAGGAGTCTTTGTGGGAGCTTCCTCACGTGCCTGCTGAGATTGTTGTTGTTCTAGGACTAGGGGCAGCGACAGCACATAGCCACGCCGTTCCTGTGAGCTGGGAAAAATCTTAAGCCCGGAGGCTATACGTTGCCAGTGGTTATCTTGAGATGAGGTTATCTTGAGATGATTTCGGGGCTTTTAGTGTCCCCGCGGCCCGGTCCTCGACCAGGCCTCCACCCCCAGGAAGCAGCCCGTGACAGCTGACTAACACCCAGGTACCTATTTTACTGCTAGGTAACAGGGGCATAGGGTGAAAGAAACTCTGCCCATTGTTTCTCGCCGGCGCCTGGGATCGAACCCAGGACCACAGGATCACAAGTCCCGCGTGCTGTCCGCTCGGCCGACCGGCTCTCCTCCCTCCCAGTGGGCAGAATATATAAAAAAAAATGTTGCATCTTAGCGCATACAAATGACTGCATGGTAGGAACTTGGCTTTTCTATAGACACTCAGTGAACCCAGACGAGAATGCGTCAAGCGTTCAATGGGTAGCCGAATAAAGTCGAAACCAAATGGCTTAAGCACAAATGCTCCCCTAATACCCAAAACCCAAAAGGGCAAAATTTACGTTTTCCAGTTATCTCCAGCATGTTAGTAGTTAGCCATCCACCACACACCATGGGTACACCAGGAGCCCACAACACCCACCAACTTGTTAGTAGTGAGCCATCCACCACACACCAGGGGTACACCAGGAGCCCACAACACCCACCAACTTGTTAGTAGTGAGCCATCCACCACACACCATGGGTACACCAGGAGCCCACAACACCCACCAGCATGTTAGTAGTTAGCCATCCACCACACACCATGGGTACACCAGGAGCACACAACACCCACCAACTTGTTAGTAGTTAGCCATCCACCACACACCATGGGTACACCAGGAGCCCACAACACCCACCAACTTGTTAGTAGTTAGCCATCCACCACACACCAGGGGTACACCAGGAGCCCACAACACCCACCAACTTGTTAGTAGTTAGCCATCCACCACACACCATGGGTACACCAGGAGCCCACAACACCCACCAACTTGTTAGTAGTTAGCCATCCACCACACACCAGGGGTACACCAGGAGCCCACAACACCCACCAACTTGTTAGTAGTGAGCCATCCACCACACACCATGGGTACACCAGGAGCCCACAACACCCACCAACTTGTTAGTAGTGAGCCATCCACCACACACCATGGGTACACCAGGAGCCCACAACACCCACCAACTTGTTAGTAGTGAGCCATCCACCACACACCATGGGTACACCAGGAGCCCACAACACCCACCAACTTGTTAGTAGTGAGCCATCCACCACACGCCATGGGTACACCAGGAGCCCACAACACCCACCAACTTGTTAGTAGTGAGCCATCCACCACACACCATGGGTACACCAGGAGCCCACAACACCCACCAACTTGTTAGTAGTGAGCCATCCACCACACGCCATGGGTACACCAGGAGCCCACAACACCCACCAACTTGTTAGTAGTGAGCCATCCACCACACACCATGGGTACACCAGGAGCCCACAACACCCACCAACTTGTTAGTAGTGAGCCATCCACCACACACCATGGGTACACCAGGAGCCCACAACACCCACCAACTTGTTAGTAGTGAGCCATCCACCACACACCATGGGTACACCAGGAGCCCACAACACCCACCAACTTGTTAGTAGTGAGCCATCCACCACACACCATGGGTACACCAGGAGCCCACAACACCCACCAACTTGTTAGTAGTTAGCCATCCACCACACACCATGGGTACACCAGGAGCCCACAACACCCACCAACTTGTTAGTAGTTAGCCATCCACCACACACCATGGGTACACCAGGAGCCCACAACACCCACCAACTTGTTAGTAGTTAGCCATCCACCACACACCATGGGTACACCAGGAGCCCACAACACCCACCAACTTGTTAGTAGTTAGCCATCCACCACACACCATGGGTACACCAGGAGCCCACAACACCCACCAACTTGTTAGTAGTTAGCCATCCACCACACACCATGGGTACACCAGGAGCCCACAACACCCACCAACTTGTTAGTAGTTAGCCATCCACCACACACCATGGGTACACCAGGAGCCCACAACACCCACCAACTTGTTAGTAGTTAGCCATCCACCACACACCATGGGTACACCAGGAGCCCACAACACCCACCAACTTCGGCACCTCTCGGCCAAGTCAGCGCCAGACACCAAGTCAATGGTAGAATGCCAGCAGCAATTTCGTGACCCAACAGCAGTAAGTGCATTCTGTTAGCTAGTGGTCCCCGCTGGCTAATAGCAAATAATAATACGGTGTATTATTATTACTAATACACCGTCTAATACTAATAATTAGTATTATTTATATATTTTAGTTATTAATTTATATGTACAAGAGTTCTTACATTCTTGTACAGCCACTATCTTGAGGTTATCTTGAGATGATTTCGGAGCTTTTTAGTGTCCCCGCGGCCCGGTCCTCGACCAGGCCTCCACCCCCAGGAAGCAGCCCGTGACAGCTGACTAACACCCAGGTACCTATTTACTGCTAGGTAACAGGGGCATTCAGGGTGAAAGAAACTTTCAACCTGAATTACATTTCGCCACAGAATTACGAGTCCTGCGCGCTATCCACCAGGCTACGAGGCCCCTAGCGCACACAGCATTTCGGGCAGGTCCTTAATCCGTATTTTCCCCGGAATAAGACCTACCAAATCGTTTAACAACCAGGTATCCATCCACTGCTGGGTGAACAGAGGCATACAGTTAAGGATTGGCGCCCAGTCGATCCTCCCCGGCCAGGATACGAACCCAGGCCAAAGCGCTTGCGAAGCTCCGAGCGAGTGTTTTATCACTGCGCCACGAGCATTATATACCACAATAAGGCTATAACTTGAGAATCTCTGTTTACAACACGGATTCGTATACCAGTTTACATGTAGACTGCTTTTTGAAACGTAATATGCTTTCAGCTATGCTATGCTAGATAACTATCCAGGTGGTTTGAAGGGGGTGGAAGGATGGTTCCTCAAGGTAATGGATTTGCTGTGAGGACAAAATGTAACCAGATGGCAAAGATAACTGCCTAGTGGCACTGAACACCCCAACCCCTGCAAGTGACTTGAACTCAGAAACCCCAGGTGTTCGCGCACACGAGTTTAACCAATACGCTAACCATTACACCACCCAGACCCTACAAAAGGGACCGAAATCTCAGAGTTTGTCCGCAACATTTCGATCCCCCAAGGGCACCAGGGTGGTACACGGTCAGATTACGTTTTTCATCAAGCAGTTTTCATCAGTTATGCTCATGTGATATTCCAAGATACCAGTCCATCCTCCTGTGTTGGTAGTACTTATAGTAACGATGAGGACCATAGTATATAAATCGACGTACAACGAAATTAGAAAGTAAAAATCTGAACTATTGAGTTGGACAAACCAGAAAACTATTTTGTACTTGTCTTGCTTTGACAAACTAAACTAACCTAACCTCCCTAGGCCTAATAAATGCTCTGAGGCCTAATATAGTACATATGTGTGCTATACTAGGCCTAGGAATATTAAAGTTTGTTTTTTAGCTTCATTGATTTTAAAAATTCCTTACTAGTTAGCATACTACTATCAAAGCTAAATACGTACGAATTCGTGACTACTGACAACCGTCACAATAAGTACTATCCAAACAGGGGGATGTATTGATCATATTTTACCATCTAAACAGGGGGATGGGTTGATCATATTTTACCATCTAAACAGGGGGATGTATTGATCATATTTTACCATCTAAACAGGGGGATGGGTTGATCATATTTTACCATCTAAACAGGGGATGTATTGATCATATTTTACTTCCTTTGCTGGTACAGATTGTTTACTGCTAATGGCGGCGTGGACACCGTCCGGCTCCGTGACCACTTCAACTCTCCTCATCTCATCCAGAATGAGGGCCGACTGGACGACATTGTTCGCAGCTTCACTCAACTTGCCTCTCAGAAGTTTGACGCCTTCGTCGTCCAGGACCTCACAAACCATCTGTTCCAGGTGTGCTGACCTTTCTCAGATTACAAAGTACTTAAAGGACTTCATGTTGTTAGTCACAAGTTAAACGTAAAAAATGTCAGTGTTGAATATTCTCAGCAGATGTATTTGAACCATCCTCTTTAGTACCCAACATTATTTCCGTACATATTTGGGTGAGTCTACCCCTAAGCGTCTGGCCTTCAACAACGTTGTAGGCCAAACATTGGATGTTCTCATTGACATGTATCGCATTACTGTGATATAATGCATGACAACAAACACACAGTATGGTAACAACCCACAGTATGATGACATAACAGTATAGTGATAACATACATACTGTATGGTAACTAACACATAGAATGGTTACAAACACACAGGCCGAAGAGAAACACATAATGTTGACACTCAACTTCGTGAAGGTTGATGATACACACAATGGGAAGAGAACACCGATCGTTTTCATCAAATCAGTCACTTACTGAGGAGAACGTCAGCTTCAGTGTAAGACACAATTGCATAAACACACAAATTACATGTAACTTAAAGAACTTAACCTCGTGAAGGATTCAAACCTTAGATGGCCTGGTGTTCCAAACACGTATGCGTATTCAGTACGTTATGCACTTAACCATTGTAGACATTATATAAGTCATTGATAGCCAAGACTATTTGACCAACGACCTGACAACGACCACACACACACATATATATATATATATATATATATATATATATATATATAATATATAGCACTATATATATTGTGATGGAAAAAAGAAGTGTAGGTGTTCGGCAGTCCTCCCAATGGCTGGTGTCAATGCCTATCACATTTAAAAAAAAAAGATGACTGCGTAGCTGTTGTCTCCTGTGGCAAAGTAAGGCAAAACAAGCAAAACAAATATTATGAACAATTAAACTTTAATTAAATTTAAAACAAATTATGAATAAGACAATTCCTTGGCTATGTACAATGCAAACTCTCACGATACAAAAAATAACATAAAACAATATAGTGGTGACGTTACTCTAAAACGGATAAAGACAAAATGAAATTCGGTGCTGAGAATAAAGTGCTGGCTGAGAACATCCACTAATAGACAGAGTGTATATCAGATGGTTGTTTCAGCTTGAGAGCACAGAATATTCTAACTCCAATGGCTGGTGCAGGCCCAGACATCGGCTAGGTAGATGGCGCTGAGGTGCAGTAGTGCAGTGGTGTAGACGTCGATTCACCAATCAGAAGCGGGCAGGCTGGAAATGCTAGTTTGGTGATCGGCGACGAGGGAGGGAGGGGGGGGGGAGGTGGAGAGCGAGTGTGGTACGTTTGCGCCTGGCAAAACGTATTTGACCAAATATGTACTACACTTGCTTGTAGTATCTAGTATCTAGATGTTGTAGATGTACTGAAGTAGCATGACGATAGGAAAGAGCAGGCCAAATCTCTCTTGAAGGAGATTATTGTAACAGCTCTCCCCCGAAGCCTGCTCTTACGGGTTAAGTACTTCAGTAGCTGGTGTAGAGGTAGAAGTAGTTGTCTCTACCTCGTAGATTCTAGAGAGGGCGTCGGCTGTGATGTTGTCCGAACCTTTGATGTAGAAGATCTCCGGATTAAAATTTTGCAAGTATAGTGCCCAGCGTAGAAGACGTTGATTGCTGAATTGGGCCTGTTGTAGGAACCACAGGGGATTGTGGTCCGAGTAGATGGTAATAGACTGATTCCCCTGTAGGTAAGGTTCGAAATATTGCAGATTCAGGACGATGGAGAGGAGTTCCTTTTCGATAGTGCTGTAGTTCTTCTGGTGAGGCTTCAACTTGTAGCTGTAGTAGCTAACAGGAAGAACCTCCTCGCCTCGTTGTTGCATCAGGACGCCCCCGATGCCGGTACCACTGGCGTCGACATGGAGGATGAAGGGCTTCGTGATATCTGGAGAGGCGAGAATGGGATCAGAACATAGCAGAGATTTAAGTTGTTCAAAGGCAACGGTCTGTTGAATGGTCCAATGATACTTACCTGGTTGATACCTGGTTGATGGGGTTCTGGGAGTTCTTCTACTCCCCAAGCCCGGCCCGAGGCCAGGCTTGACTTGTGAGAGTTTGGTCCACCAGGCTGTTGCTTGGAGCGGCCCGCAGGCCCACATACCCACCACAGCCCGGTTGGTCCGGCACTCCTTGGAGGAATAAATCTAGTTTCCTCTTGAAAATGTCCACGGTTGTTCCGGCAATATTTCTTATGCTTGCTGGGAGGACGTTGAACAACCGCGGACCTCTGATGTTTATACAGTGTTCTCTGATTGTGCCTATGGCACCTCTGCTCTTCACTGGTTCTATTCTACATTTTCTTCCATATCGTTCACTCCAGTACGTTGTTATTTTACTGTGTAGATTTGGTACTTGGCCCTCCAGTATCTTCCAGGTGTATATTATTTGATATCTCTCTCGTCTTCTTTCTAGTGAGTACATTTGGAGGGCTTTGAGACGATCCCAATAATTTAGGTGCTTTATTGCGTCTATGCGTGCCGTATATGTTCTCTGTATTCCCTCTATTTCAGCAATCTCTCCTGCTCTGAAGGTGGAAGTGAGTACTGAGCAGTACTCAAGACGGGACAACACAAGTGACTTGAAGAGTACAACCATTGTGATGGGATCCCTGGATTTGAAAGTTCTCGTAATCCATCCTATCATTTTTCTGGCTGTCGCAATATTTGCTTGGTTATGCTCCTTAAACGTTAGGTCGTCAGACATTATTATTCCCAAATCCTTTACATGCTGTTTTCCTACTATGGGTACATTTGATTGTGTTTTGTACTCTGTATTATGTTTAAGGTCCTCATTTTTACCGTACCTGAGTACCTGGAATTTATCACTGTTAAACATCATGTTATTTTCTGATGCCCAGTCGAAAACTTTATTAATATCAGCTTAAAGTTTTTCAATGTCCTCAACCGAGGTAATTTTCATACTGATTTTTATGTCATCTGCAAAGGATGATACGAAGCTGTGACTTGTATTTTTGTCTATATCTGATATGAGAATAAGGAAAAGCAGCGGTGCAAGGACTGTACCCTGAGGTACAGAGCTTTTCACTGCACTTGGACTAGATTTTATATGGTTGACCGTTACTCGCTGAGTCCTGTTTGACAGAAAACTGAGTATCCAGCGTCCTACTTTACCGGTTATTCCCATTGACTTCATTTTGTGTGCTATCACGCCATGGTCACATTTATCGAAAGCCTTTGGGAAGTCCGTGTATATCACCTCAGCATTCTGTTTTTCTTCTAATGCCTCAGTGACTTTGTCGTAGTGGTCAAGTAGCTGTGAGAGGCACGATCTTCCCGCTCGTAATCCATGTTGGCCTGGGTTGTGAAGGTCATTGGTCTCCATGAAATTGGTGACCTGACTCCTAATCACTCTCTCAAATACTTTTATGATGTCCGATGTTAGTTAGTGATACTGTTGCTTGGGGCTGGTCAGTTTAATCAATGGTGTCGCTACCGTACTAAAATTCTTCACAAACCTACGATAGTAAGAAGCAAGTCCAAGGAAGCGCAGGAGCTGCTTCCTGGTCGTAGGTTGTGGGTAATGCTGAATGGCTTCAGTGTGAATTGTTAAAGGAGCTAGGCTGCCACTCCCTATCACATGACCCAGATAACGCACTTTACCTTTGACAAATGTGGACTTGCCCAAGTTGATGGTAAGGCCGGCTGTCAGGAGCTTGGAGAACAGTCGTTGCAGCTGGAGCAGATGTTCGCTCCAGGTGTTGGTTGCCACAACGATGTCGTCCAAGTAGGCGTAGGTGTGACCTAGGCCGTAGATGACGCGGTTGATAGCTCGCTGGAAGGTGGCCGGGGCGTTACACAGTACAAAAGGAAGGCGTTCATGTCTGTATAGGCCAAAAGGAGTGGTGAAGGCAGATATTTCCTTAGCTCTCTCTGTCAGGCTTATTTGGTAATAGCCCTTTAACAAATCAAGTTGGGATAAATATGTTGCATTACCTACGGCGTCAAGGATATCATCTATGCGTGGTAAAGGATAAGCATCCTTGACGGTCACAAGATTCAATTTTCTATAATCGGTACAAAGGCGTACTTTACCGTGCGGTTTCGGCACCAAGATGCAGGGTGAGGCCCAGGGGGACTCACAAGGTGTGGCCAGCCCATGATCCAGAACTTATTGTAATTCAGCACGCATAACTTCCTTTTTGTACGGGGTGATACAGTAGAAGGGTTGACGAATCGGCCGGGTAGCAGGAAGCAGCTGGATGTCGTGCTGAACCACCTTACACTCCTGGGGATCATCGTTGAACAACTTCTGATGTTCATGAAGAACTTTGATGAGAGGAGCACTATTACTGTCCTGCAAATAGGTAGGAAGATCATTAAGGATTTCAGAGTTGAAAGGCACTGACTCAGAGTCGGTGCTTTCTGGAGGAGAAGCAGGGAAGGTCTCACTGTTGAGGTATGAATCTTTGAAAGTGGAGAGTGATATTAAGGCAGTGGGGGGAATACCTTTATACTCTTTGAGTAGATTGACGTGGCACGACTGGGTCCTCCGCCGCCTATCTGGAGTCTCAAGAACGTAGTTGTGGTTGTTTCTGCACTCCTTGGTGCGGTAGGGTCCTGAAAACTTATTTTGCAATGGAGAACCTGGGATAGAAAAATATGCCAACACGAAGTCTCCTGGTTTAAATTTCCTGATTTTGCTGCGTTGGTCAAAATGAGTCTTCATCCTCTCTTGAGCTTTCAATAGATTGTCATTAGCAAATTTACGTACTCTCTCTAGAATGTATTTTAAGTTTTGAAGAAACTGGGGCACATTCTGAGGGTCACTGAAGGTGGCATTACGTAGAGAGTCTTTAAAAGCTTTGAGAGGAGTACGGCACTTACGTCCGTAGAGCATCTCATAAGGAGATACTCCTAGAGACTCATTGGGGAGACTTCTGAAAATACACATGATGATGTCAAGTTGTTTGTCCCAGTCTTTCATGGTTTCATTGCAAAATTTCTTTAGGAGTGATTTAA